GCTCTGGGATCGCCCCCTGGGTGCCCGTCTCCCTGGCTCCGCGCCCTGGACCGACGCCCAGTCCAGCAGATGGTTCTGCCTCGCGCTCTCGGCCACCTCCCCTCTCGACGACTACATCGACCAGGTCAAAATTCAGTTCCCCAGCTTCGGCGACGACCTCTCCAGCCATCCCGGGTACGTCCTGTTCTTTTGGGGCCCCGACGACGACGGGCAACGCGTCGACGGGAACCACCACAAAGGGCCCCGTCACTGAGGCCACCCCCATCTGGGTGGACCCCCCCACGATATTCAAGAGCAGAGGAGGGTGGCACGCAACGTCCACTCCCCTGTTCTACACCTACTCCGACCAGCTTCGCGCCTGGGGCGCCGCCGCCCCTCCCATCCCAGTGCTGAGCGCGCTTCCCATGCCCTCCCCCGTCGACAGGCTGCGGGTTCACGCGGTTGCGTGCCGCCGGAGCCTTTCTGGCATACCTTGGAGGCGGACGCCGACGTTGCGGCCGCCGCGGCTGACATCGCTGGGGGGCAGGGCGCCCTGAGCGCGCTTCCTCGGCTACGCGGCTCGGCCGCCTCCTGCATTCCGGCACCATGTGCGGCCTCCGCCCCCGGACCTCGTCGTTGGTGACTGGCGCCTCACCCCTGGCACGGCCCCCGCCGGCCGTCCCGTCGACGCCAGCGCGCGCCACCGCTGCGGCCCGCGAGCTCGAGGAGGTGGTGCCCGGGGCGGTTGACCGCCGAATTTGCACGGCTGGCGATGAGAACAGCCCAGCCCTTGGGCAGAACGCTGGAGCGGAGCACGGCGAGCGCGGCTAGGAGACGTGTCTTACCGGAGCCAGGCGAGCCGTACACCGTCCAGCATTGGGCGTTGGACCGAAGACCTCCTGGATCGATCCTCTCCGAAATTCGCAAGCCAGAGGCTGGGCTCCGCTGCCCAGGTTGGGCCCCAGCAGGGTCCCCCGCCGCCCTGCAGGGCCCGACAGGCGCGAGCACCGTCCCATCAGTTTCCAGCACAAACTGGTCGCCGTGCAGGGCGACGAGGATCTGCAGCATCTGCAGCGATGCGCCACCCCCCTCCCGTCCCAGGTCACTTTCGAGAATAGGTTCGGAGTCGGCAACAGGCCCAACAGTTTCTGCTGCGACTTCTGCACCAGCGGGGCACATGAGCTTCTACTCCCGTCCCTGGACGGGCTTGGCGGCCCAGTCGACTCATTCGTCTTCCAGGGCGCCGCCGACCGCGGCCACGTGCTCATGCGCGGCCTGCCTCGCTGGCGCTACCTCTCCAGGGCATGGGGGTCCCGCCTCCGCAATCTCAGCTGGGCATGCGCCCGGTGCTGCGCTGCGCTCTGTAGGCTCAGCCCCGACGACGTGACGGCCGTCCCCAACTACTGCGAGGCCGAGGTGGCCCCCAGACTGTGCCAGCGACTGCCTCGCACCGCGTCGCGCGACCGCCCCCCGCCACCATCCCCGCCCTCGCCCGAGCGGGTGCGCCTTCCAGAGGCCAGCCGAGACGAGATCGCCCTGCCGGCTCCCGAGGCGCCACGGGCCCGGCGCTTGATGGCCGCGCAATCCCGGCCATCCTTCGAGCCGCCTCGCGGACCCCCGAGGACGAGGCGAGCCTCGCGCGGCCCGGCTCCGGCTAGGCGGGCCCCGCCAGGCCGAGATCGCGCGCCACGACGAGCCCGCGGCAGCGCGCCCCGATGCAGCCGCGGCCAGGTGGCAGCTCGCGGTCCGTCGGCTGCGCTCCGCGGGCAGCCTCGCGCCCGAGCCATCGGGCCTCGCCCGCGACGCGCTGGCAAAAGGAATGGCAATCGTCCGTTCCGCTTTGGCTGACGCCGCATACGGCGCCCCGCCCGAGCACGACATGCCGCTGGAGGCCTTCCCGCGGGCGCCCCTGGCGAGGCCGTCGTCGTGTTCCGTCTCCTGGGCGGCGCGCAGGCGCAGCAGTGGTGCGCGTTCGTCAACAGCTCCAGTTCACGGTCCCGCGTCTCCTCGCGGCACTCGCGCAGTGACCTGCTCGGGCTCCTCAAGTCGGCCCGCCCCCGTCCTCCTGTGTCCCAGCGTCTGAACCTGGCAGCCCGAGCCCCGTGCTCAGGAAGTATGTACGAGTGCGGAGAAACTCTCCAGGCTGCGCCGTGATTTCCCAGTCACTCATTGAGCTGAACTGGCCCGCCTTCCTCAAGGGCGCCCAATACATGTTGGGCAACGACATCCGGCTGGTCCCAATGGCCCTCCCGCGCGAGTTCTTGCGCCAACAGGGCCCTGGGCAGCTGCGCCGCACGGTGCAGAAACGGGTTGCAGCTGTTTCTTTTAGGCGCGGGGCTGCGGGCCGCGATCCCGCGCGCTCGCCCTCGCCCCGCGCGGAAAGGCCGCTCTCGGCCCCCACCGCGGCGCAATCGCACTGCAGCTGACCAGGCCCCGCCCCCAGGGATCGCTCCAGGCCTCGGGTTCGACCCGGGCCTTGCGAAGGACAGCCACGGCCTCGACCGCAAGCTCGCCGGCCCACGCGCTGACCACCGCGCAGCCTCGCGAAGCGGCGACAGGCTGGAGCCGTCGGGCCCCGTGGCTTCCAGCTCCAACCTCGCTGCGCCCTCTTGCGCGGCCACCTCGCAGGGCTCTGGGCGGTGCCCCGCGCGGCCCGAAGGCGCGGCCCGAAGGAGCGCCATGGGAGAGTCGCCCCCCCGCCACAAGCTGGGAGGGCGGCTGGCCCGCCCACTCCCAACACCACAGCAGCTGGGCGCGTGAAGGCAGTGCCGCGCTGGCCCTCGATCCATGGGCTGCGTCTGCCTTTGCTGCAGGCAGTGGGGCTGCCCCTGCCGCCCCCTGGCCCCAGCTCGTGATCTGCACCTTGGCGCGAACGATGCGGCCGTTCAGTGAGTGCATCGCGACTTTCCAGCGGCCGCATGGCACCAGCGGTGCGCCTTCAATCGGAGGCCGCTGAACCCCGCGCTCCACGATGGCAGCGACCTCAACGCCTGCCTGAGCTGGGCTCTGAGCCTCGAGGGCTTCGAGGTCTTCAAGATCCTCGGTGGCCGCGCGTCGGCCCGCCTGCCGCGCCCGCGGTCCCGGGGCGCCCGGGGCCGAGACGCCACGAGCCGCGATCCCTCGCGCCGCAGGGTTGAGCCCTAATCGTCTCGCTGGCCCCCCCAAGCTCCCAACTCCACGCAGCTCCGGCTCGAACGCGCTTTCTCCCCCTTTCTCAGTGTGTCCGCCTCTGGGGGCGATGGCCCCGTCGCTGCCCGGATGTGGCGGCTGGGGCTGCTCCGCCCGCCGCCACCCTTGCTTGTCGTCCCTGCAGGCGCGCAGCTCAGCGTGGACTGCATCACTGCGTGGCGCCCTGCGGAGTCTTCACCTGGCTGGCCTGCCGGGGGTGCTGCGCCTCCAACGTATCCCTCGAGTCGCGCGGGCTGGCCCAGCTCTGAAGGGATGCTGCAGACACTGGAGCTTTCTCTGCCGCGTCTGCTACGGGTAGCCGTGGGCAGCCCCGCCAGGTCGCAGCGCTTTGTGCCCGGTGGCGGGCCCCCAGGACTTTCTTCGCTGCCTGCACGGGGGTTGCGACATCGGGGCCGCCCCTCTTGCCGAATGCGAGCTCGCAGCTCAATCAGGCAAAGCGCAGCGCTGGACCAGCAACCCCATTCTCTTAATAGCAGTCATGGTCCCGCCCGAATCTGGGTCTACGCCTTTCCCTTCGTCTCCCGACCCACGCCCGTCCTCCCGACCCACGCCCGTTTCCCTGCGCACCCATGGTCGAATGACTAAGGCTGACCAACAACTGCCCCGACTGCCTCGGCTAATGATTCTGGTCCATGCTGGGTCACGCGCTGCCGCGTCACCTCGGCGCATGTCCCAATTGAGGGACGCAAAAAAACAGTGTTGTCTGCGCCGACATTGGCGCGTAAGCTGCCCGCGCAAACTCGCGCGTAGGTGCCCAATGTGGCGTGCCGCGCTGGCGGCCCGCGTAAGCCGCCGCGTAAGGTCGCCGTGCCATCTCGCGTAAGACCCATTTTGATCGGCGCTCAGTTGTGCTCACCAGCAGCCCTCCATCGAAGGGAGCCTCCTTCCTCCCCCAGGGGGGCCCTCGCCCGCGCCACCTGCGCAGGTGGACGCCCCCCTCACGGAGGCTCCCACCGGCCCCCGCCGCCCAGGCCCGGGTGGACCGGTCGCCGCCGTAGCCGCCGTAGCCGCCGTTGCCTCCCGTCGGGCTCGACAACGGTGGGCTCGGCCAAGGTGGCGGCATTGACAACTCTGGCCAGAAGTCCGCAGGGGGGGGGGTGGGAGAAGGCGGCGCCTGCGATGGGAACTGACTGGTAGCCCCTGCACCATTCGGACTTGTCGCCGTCGCCGAACTCTTCTTCACCCCGCACCGTATGCACCTTCTCTTAGCTTTCGGATGCCAGTACCGGCATGAACACTGCCACCACTACATCTCCCATCCCTCACTTGCCGAAGGCTTTGCATTCCAAGAACTGCCACCCCACCAATTCCACGCAATGACCGTGAACTGCCACGAATCAAGAGTATGAGTACGGTGTTTCAGTAATGGGATTAACCCCTTCAGCTCTTGATCCCTTCAGTTTTTGAGTCACTCCATCTCCTCCTCCTCCCCCTCCTCTTTCTCCTCCTCCTCCATCTTCCATCTCCTCACCAAATCTCCTCCAACCTCCTCCTCCTCCTCCTCCTTCTCCTCCCTTACTCAGCTCTGATGTGGCCATGATGCTGCCTGACAGAGTTGTCGTCGCCGTCGCCGTCGCCATCGCCGTCGCCGTCGTCGTCGTCGTCGCCGCTGCCGTCGCCGTCGCCGTCGCCGTCGCCGTCTCTCTCAATCGACGTCGTCGTCGCCGTCGCCGTCGCCGTCGCCGTCGCCGTCGCCGTTGCCGCCGCCGTCGCCGTCGTCGCCGCCGTCGCCGCCGTCGCCGTCGTCGTCGCGGCGAAACAAGTCGGCAGCAGCTCGAGGGCGGCGGCGCGGTGGGGGCGGGGGCGGCGGGACCCCCGGGCGCTCGCCAGAGGCCTCCTTCGTGTTCCGGCAGCTCAGCGAGGGCCTGGGTTTTCTCCACCGGCAGGCCAGCGCGCCCGGCGGGGGGGGGGTCCGAGGCGTCGTCGTCGTCTTCGTCGTCGCCGTCGTCGTCGTTGACATCGCCGTCGCCGTCGCCGTCATCGTCGCCGCCGCCGTCGTCGTCGTCGTCGTCGTCGTCGCCGTCCAAGGCGACGAGGCTTCGAGGTGGCGCTCCTGCTCCTGCTCCTGCTCCTGTTCATGTTCCTCCTGCTGCAGCTCTTCCTCCTCCTCCGCCTCCTCCTCCTCCTCCTCTTGCTCCTCCTCCTCCGCCGCCCTCTCCTTCGCCTCCTCCTCCGCCTCCTCCTTCTCCTGCTCCCTCTTCTCCTCCTCCTCGTCCTCCTTCTCCTCCGCCTCCCCCTCTCCCCCTCTCTCAAGCAACTTGGGCTCGAGCGCCATTTTGGCATCCGAGGCCTGACCTCGCGCCTCCACGTGGTTCTTGGGGGGCTGTGCGCTCTCTGCTCACTCCTTCGTTTCGCGCGGCTGGTTGCACGAGCGAAGGCGAGGTCGCGCTCGTATGCTCACGCTCAAGCCATGCAGCGCATGCGTGGGATGTGGCACTCAAGAGTACAACCACAATATTCCGTTGAGTTCGAAGAAGTGCGGCACGTGTAATCGTCTAGTCAGGCTCTTCAATCCCAAGGGCAGCAACGGCCTGAAGGACCAGCCAAACCTCCAGATCGCTTCGGACAAAGTGCAGGCCGCTGCATCGTCTACTATCCAGGCGCTCGCGGCCGCGATGGCCATGATGACCGACCCGACCAGCAATAATTCTCTCGACGCAGAAGGTCAGGAGCGATAGAAGGACGCACACGCACATGAATCCACGCTTGCTTCGAAAGTACGCATTGCGCGAATGTTCGTACATGCTGCCGGTCACGCGGATCGAGGGGCCGTGTTCATGTACGTAGTTGGGCGCGTACGCCTTTTGTGGACTCCCTAGAAGGCGGCGCAGGCGCCAGTCGGCCTGCCCTCAAGCGCGTCGCCAGGCCAGGCGGTCCGCCGCGCCGAGGGGGCGTGGAAGGACGCCAAGCTGAAGCATTCCAGGCAGCTGCTGGAGTTTCGAGATGCCAGGATAATCTCGACGCCGCGCTTTTGGAGGAGGAGGAGGAGGAGGAGGTGAGCTACGTGCGAGGAGGAGGAGGAGGTGGAGGAACAGGAGGAGGAACACATGTTGAGCGCACTGCTCAATATTGGGGTCTCCCGATCATTACGCTCATTGTTGCCAGCGGCACGGGCCCTGTGGAGGGGAACAGCGCAAATTCTGATACGGTGTCGATGTGGCTCCGAAAGATGGAGGAGGGGACCTGCGCTGTGGTTGCCGACCTCCCCATTGCCACGTGGAGCGCATCTAAGGTCCTACCCCAGCTCTCGTTCCTGCGCCATGCGACCGGTGAGGGGCCACTCCTTCAGATGGGGGTGCAAGCATCTCACGAGGGCTGAGAGTGAGCACGTGCGACTCGAAAACGCCCTCCTTCAAGCCATCATCCGGCTTTTGTGCATGACCCAGCGACTGCGTGTGCCAGCTTTGATGGTCCACCCCGCTCGTGCCAGCGAGTGGCAACCAGAAGCGCCCAGCGTTTGGGACCTCCCTGAGGTACACGCGATTTCGGCGTCCACAGAGGTTTCAGCTCACACTGTGGACCAATGCATGTCGGGGCGGAAGGACGACGACCTACCACTGCGTGCGCTGTGGCGTGCGAGCCCCTTGCAGAGATTGTTGGTGCCATCCTGTATTATGGACGGCGCACCCATCTTTCCCACCCCTGCCCCACCAATCTGTCTGCCTCGGGGGAGGGGGTGGGGGGGCTGGGGGGGAGACGTTTTTTGTGAGCTGTTGGCGGCTGCTGTGGTCCGCGCGGTCCGAAACAGGTTTCCCCAACTAGGCTCTGATCACACGAACCTCGAGGATTGGAGCGACGTGAAACGACTTGTTGCGCCTCTTGATCCTTACTCGTGCACTGCGTGAACTGCTTCCGTTACGTGTTCGTTGCGTTTTCGATGCACCTCGGCATCGACGTGATAGGTCCAGCTGCGGGCCAACGAAGGTTCGGGCACTACGAGCGTCGACCCCCTCTAGTGGCTGGGGGTGGCGAATGTCCTGGCCGTTGCCCATCTTGCGGCTGTACTTCCCCTCCTCTCTTTGCTCCCTCCCTCCCTGCTTCCCTCTCTCCTCCCCTCTCTGCCTCTGTTCCTCTCTCCTCTCGGGGTGTGTCGGCTCTCGTCGTACCTGTGGCTTTCGGTGCCCTGTGTGTCTGTAGCCATTTTTTTGGCCTCCCTATCTGTCCTTGGCCTGCCCCTCCTCCTCGCCGCCCTCCTCCTTCTTCTCCACTTCCGCCTCCTCCTTCTTCTCCTGTTGACGAGATCCCCGCCGACTGGCACCCGCGCCAATACATCTTCAGGGATTACTTGACGACGAGCTCATCTTCCAGCGCCTCTGGGAGCGGCCAGCCTTGGAGCCGCGAGCTTGCGCGCGCCTGCCGCAGCGACGGCTCCTCCGGCTGCGGCTGGGGCCCCGCGCCCGGCATGGCCACCGCAGCGGGGCGGAGCTGCGCGATGACCGCCAGCGCTGTGCAAAACGACTTGGAGAAACAGCAAATGCGTCAAGCCATGTACGACTCGCAGTTCGACGGCGAGCGGTTGGTCCCGTTTCCGACGGCGAAGCTCGACCCGGGGCCAATGCAGCAGCGGGCTGCGTGTTCTTATTTGGTTGGCCAGATAAGTGGCAGTCCAACAGCATCGCGATTTACGCGAAGTGCAAGAGGTGTTCGCTGAAGTCGGTGATCCACTGCGCGTTGGAGAAGCCCCCGGCAGGAAAGGACCCATTGTTGCGCGCGGGCCCGTGGGCGGCCCCCGTGGCAGCGGCTAAGACGCCATGGCGGCAGCAGGCGGCTGCGACTGCGCCGCCATCTTCCCGCGCCGCGACAAAGGGATGATCCGCGAACAGCGGCTGCTGTTTCCAGGGCCGACGTGGACGTGGCGTCGCTGTGCAGCAAGCTTCAGGAGGCAGGCGTTTCGAACAGTGATGATTTCCGTGGCATTACTGTGGAGGAAGCGGCGCTTATTTGGGCACCTTTAACCACCGTTCCCGAGACGTTCGTTCGTGCGCTGATTGCTGTATGCAGCCCTGCAACCCGAGTGGCAGCGCCCCAGAATATTAGTGGGGCAGGTGTTTCATCAAGCTCGCCTCCTGGTCGCCAGGGAGCCGCAGGCCCACGTTCACCGCCTGCAGCGCCGGAGACCAGAGCGACAGCTGAGGCAGCGCTTCGGTTATGTGCCGTGGCGCGGGCTTCTGGGCAGATTCCCGAGCCAGAGCCCCTCGCAAAAGCGATTCTTGCACTGGCGAAGCATGATTGTGGGCCGTGCGTGCCCCCCACGAAGAAGCCACGCACAGAGCTTTTGCAGGCCAGCTCGGCGCCAACGGCGTTCACTGAGAAGGCAGTTTGGCTGGAATTCTGCGGTTGGAAAACCAGTGCTCCTGGCTACGCGTCCGCGGTTCGCCTCTACGGGCAGGCAGCGCGTGCTTGCGGGAGCCACCCGTGGCCTCCCACGCAGGTAGCGCTGGATTGCTTTGTTGGTTTATTTCGCAGCTCGTCGTCGTTGAGCCGGTACCTGTCCCATCTCCGCACAGTGCTGTCGTGGCTGAGATGCCCAATCGGGCCACTGGCAGACACGGCTCGAGTTGTCCGAGGCGCAGAGAGAGCAGGGCGAGCTCAACGGAGGCTGCGGGTGCGGGCTTCGGCTGAAGAGACAAGAGCCCTCGCCATGTGGTGCGTCTGTTTCGGCTTTCCATTGCTGGGGGATTCCTGGGTTGTCGCTAGGCATTTCTGCTTGCGCTACGGACGTCTTAGGCACGTCGAGTCGCAAAAGGCCCTGGATGCCACGGGCGCGCCGTGCCGCGGCATCAACCAGCACAAGTACTTCAAGTTCGGCCCCGGTGTGCCGCTGTTGTCGAAGCGTGCGTGGTGCTGCACTGTCGGCATCAACTGTGCGTAGTGCGAGGCTGTGATCTCCGAGGTCGATGCCCCGTCTCGTCGGCCCTAACGATGTGGCAGGGTGGGGCGCGGCGGTCAGCTTCAGGGGCGGAACGTTCGTAGCAAACGGCGTGGCCAAGCCGTTGGTCCCGGCTACGTCCAGGCATCCGCGCGTGTCATTGCTGGATTGCCCGGCGCCGGTCGCCAGAGCCTTCCCCGTTGGCCAGCCGGAGGAGCAAGACGATTTCGCCGACAAGATGTTCAGTGGAACAGCGAGCCAGGAGGAGAATGAGGGCAATGACGCCGCGGCCGACGAGGCCGTCGAGGAGGACTCGCGCGACGTAGACAGCAACGACGGCGAAGGCACCAGAGATACAGAGGTCAGCATGTCCCATTATCACACCAGCAACCCTGAGCCCGCGGAGGCGGCATCGAGCGACGAGGAGGTCTTCATGGATAACGCGGACAACGAGGCGTTCATGACGAGAGGTGCTCGCAGGCACATCCTGAGCAACCCTATGTAGCTGGAGGTTTTGATAGTCGGGAAAATCGCGAACAGGAAGCTTACGACTGCAAGAGCAGGGCTGACAGGAGCTCCCAGTGCCTGTTCGGCGGGGGATCCGGCGGAGACCGGGGCCCTGGAGAATCTAGGTGATCTTCGCGCGGGCGCGCCAGATCGTGATCGTGGCGGCGAGCTTGGGATGGAGAGCTCATCGGCCCATCGCCCCCCCGGCATTCGACCTCCTGACGGTCCAGGACAGGAGTGAGGCACGAGCGCACTTGGTTGCAGTTGATCAGGACTTCGCGACCTTGCCCCCGCCTCGCACAGCGTGGAGTCGGACGCAGTGCGCAGGCCAGCAAACGCGCGCGCGAGTGCGCCGACTACGACGGGGCGGGCGAAGCACCGCATGTTGCTTTCGTTCGCTGACGAGGTGATGCATTGGCAGGCTGCAGGAGGACGCGCCGCCATGGTTGTGGAGCACGCACAACCAACCGCCTGGAGCCAGCCATCCATGAACGCAGCAAATTCGAACCCAGCATTCGAGGACGCGATCTTCCTCCAGAGCACCGCGCAAGCGTTGTCAAACTCCGAGGTTTTGCACCTCTGCGCGCGGAAGCCGCGCGGAGAACTTCGCCAAGGCAGTGCTGACTGGTGCTGATTTCTTGGCCCATCAGCGCGGGAATGTGAGAGCTTTCCTGCGGCGCGCCTCCTGGGCACCGCGGAGGAGCCCAGGCGTTGAGGGCCAGAGCCCGAGCAACATGTTCCAGGAGAGGCTCCCTGGAACGTGTCGGAGAGACCTGCGTGGGGCAGAACGCCCCAAGAGATTCGAGCCGAGGTTGCGAGGCATTGCAGAAGACGGTGAAAGAGGAGTCCATGCAGCACCTCGCGGCGGAGGAGGGGGGGGGTGCAGCCTCCTGGTCCGAGATGGAGCTCCCCGAGGTGGCGCGGCAGGACATCATCACGAAAGGCCCCAAGAGCACGCGTCGTGCTGTTCGGAAGGCCCATCGCGGTCTTAGACGCCCCAGCCGAGCGTCTTCCATCCAGGTGCTGCGTCTCGGCGGCGACGCGCCCGACGCGCCGGCGCGCGCGCGGCTTTGGCGGTGCTCGACGCGCGCGGAATTGGAGGCGCCGCCCCGCCTTGTGCAGGGAGCGGCTGACGCGCGCCCCTTCGGCTTCAACGTGACGGTCGCGATCGACGCGAGGTGCCTGCGGGGCGCGGCCGGAAATCAGCTGGTAGTTCTGAGCGCGGTGGGCGCCGTCACGGGGTGGCACTGCGCACGCCTTCTCAAGAACAGGATGACCAAGCGCGCAGCGCGCCAGATCATGAAGGAGTGGTTTAAGCATTGCGGCGTGCCCGGGAACGTCGTGATCGACCAGGGCGGCGTGTTTGGGAGCTACTTCGACGCGTTGATGGAGCAGTTTGGCATCGACGCCATGACGACGCGAGCCCACGCTGCATGGCATCGCGGCTTGGCGGAGCGCCGCGGGGGCCTGCTCAGTATTTTTTGGGGCCCAGTGGTGCGCGAGTTCCATGTCTCTTGTGGCCTTGGCCGCCATCGTCAACGCGAAGAACTCGACGATCAGCCGCAACGGGTTGACACCAGAGCAGGCCGTCTCCGGGCGGATCTTGAACGTCGCGGAGGTGGCCAACGGGGACGACGACGAGGTTTTCATGTCTGTTCTCGGCGCTAAGGGCATAGCCTGGCGATCGCCCCAGGTCCGCGCCGCCGCCGAGATGATGCCGCTGGAGCGCGACGCGACGGGCAAGGCGCGGGGGGCGCTGTTGAGACTGGCGCCGACTGTCCTCGGTGATCTGCGCCCAGGATCGAGGGTGCATGCCTGGGCGCCGGACCCCGTCAAGGCGAGACTGTGAGAGGCGGCGAGGTCCCGCGACTGCGATCGCAAAAGAATGCAGCGGCCGGTATGATTTATCGTGGCGCGGCCACGTTCTACCCGCTGCTCGCCGGCAGCTCCTGCGCGCCTCCTCCCAGGAGGCCGCGGCCGAGGGGCCCGTCCAGGCGGGCGCGCGTCTTGCGCGGCAGCGAGATGATTGCGCCTTCCACAACGTCGTGGATGTCGCGCCCAAGGCGGATATCAAGAAGGCGAAGAGGACGTTCTTCAAGGAGCTCAAGGAGGAGCGCGAACGACATCGAGAGCTCGAAGGACCTAGGCAGCCTCGCGGGGACCTGAAGACCTCTACTGCCACCGAGGAGTAGGCTAAGGGGGCTTCTCTGGGAACATTGGGCCCCGGCGGCCTTCCGGGCCCGCCGATTCCCAGAGGCGATTTCAAGCTTGAGCAAAAAAGGAAGCATTTGATGGATGCCGCTCCGGGCTGCGCCAAGAAATCCAGTCTGCAGGCTGCCCCCGCAAGTGGCCTGCCAGCCTTCCGCGAGGTGGCTATGAACGCCGCGTTTCCCTCGGAGCCCCAGGAGGGGTTCGACCAGAGCGCCCTTGGCGGCATCTTCGCGCTCGTTCAGCGGATCGCGCGAGTAGCTCGCGTGCGTCGAGAGCCACGGCGTCGCCTCTACGACCGAGAGCGCCACGGGGAGTGCAATTGCCTTTCGGCGATGCTCTCTTTCACGGGCCAGTGCGCCTGCAAGGGCGACGGCGCGAACCGTGCCGACGAGCGAATGGAGGGCAGCTGGGTGGGCCTCGCGCTCGTCTACCATGACTAGCCGGATGCTGAGGCACAGGCGGTGTACTATCTGGACACTCCAGCGGGTCTTGCGCGGTGGCCGCTGACGTGCGAGGAGTGGCTCAACGCGTCGGTCCGCGTGTGACGCATGGCTGCAGCAGGAGCGGTGCGAGCGCGACGCGTCCGCGCTCGCGATAAAGCAGAATGCCAAGGAGCCAGGCCCACGTCGCTTCGTCCAGCATGAACCAGCTAAGTTCGACAAGGCTGACGCCGCCGAGTGGCGGCGGTGGATCGCCAACGAGACGGTGGAGCTGGTCGCCGAGGAGGAGGAGAGGAGTTTCCCGAAGGACGATCTCATCTCGTGCCCATGCGTTCGGTTCGCACGAACCGGGGGCGAGGGCCAGAGTTGGAGGCGAAGTCGCGGTTGATTAGCCCTGGCCATTTTGACCCGCAGTTTGGTCTATTCAAGACGGGTTCGCCTACCGCATCTCCATTGGCCGTGCTGGTGTGTGCGACTATCGCGACGGCAATGAATTAAACTTTGGAGTGATTGAGCGCGGCGACTGCGTTCCTGTCTGGTTTGGAGCTGGAGCGGGAGCTGCGCGCGAGGGCGCCCAAACACGGGCCCCCGGCCGTCGACGGCGCTGGATGGCCAGCTGCGCGGCCCTATGCGTTGCTTCGCTTGCTGAATGCAGCGCGCGGTTTGACGGAGGCGCCTCGGTTGTGGCACTTCCGAGCCCGCCAGGTGTTGGCGGGCGCGGGTTTCGTGGGGCTGCGCTGTGCCCTGGCCGTCTTCGTTTACCGGGTGGCCGGCAAGTTGATTGCATTGCGGGCGCTGCGCGTCGACGATGGCACGCGGTTTGAATTCGGGGTCTGGCGCGACCCCGGTGCCAGGAGGTGAAGGCGAATATCAACGAGCGCTTCAGCGTCAAGCGTTGAAAGGAGGGCTTCGACGAGGAGGCAGTTGCTTATCTCGGGGAGGAGTGGCGGCGCTACCCCGGCCACGTGGAGATCAGCTCGCGAGTACGTCGGCAAGCTGACGAAGCGATTCCTTGCGCGGGGCGAGGACAAGGAGCGGGAGATGACCCCAGAAGAGCACCACGAGTTCCCGAGCCTGCTCCGGAGGGTGCGCTGGCGCGTCGCACGCGTGGCGCCACGGCTCGCACGCAGTGTATCGGCATTCGCGCAGAAGGATCCGAAAAAGGGCGGCGATTGTTTCACCTGCGAATGCTCAACGATATCATTGACCAGCTCGAGGATTACGACAGGAGAGGTCTTGCGTCTCTCCGGACCCGCCGCGTGGACATCGAGCGCTTGCAGGTGCTCGCGCTCATGTGCGCGTCGCTCGCGAAGGAACCCGGCTATAACTGCCGAGCGGAGTCCATGAGCATGGTTACGGACGCGCGCGCGTTGATGGAATCAACGGTCTGTTGTCTCGTCGAGTTCCAGAGCAGCACTATCACGCGAGTGGTTGGATCCACTGTGGCGGCCGAGTCCGCTGCGATGCCCGTTGCCTCGGATCGGCAGCTCTACTTCCGGCTGCTCATCGAGGCCATCTTGTATGGGGAACCGCCCTTGCAAGGGGACTGGAGGTTGGCGCTGAAGGTCCCAGGAGCGCTGGTTACGGACGCGAAGTCGCTCTACGACCACGCGTGCAAGATCGGTTCGATGTCGGTGTCCTGGCAGACCCTCATCAACCTGCTGGTGGTCAAGAACTTGTTCGAGCAGGAGGCCATCAAGTTCAAGTGGCTGTCCAACATCCACATGCTGGCGGACGTGCTGACGAAGGCCGTGCAGCCCAAAGAGGTGCTATGGCAGTTCCTCCGCGACGGAGTGTTCAGCATGGTGCCGACTGCCGAGCAGCAGGGTGCGCCGCGGACAGCGCGAGAGAGCCAAGGAACGGAAGGTCCAGCCCCGGGCCGCCGCTCCATGGCCCGCGAACCCAGGAGGTCTTGCTGCTGCTGCAGGGTCTGGTGGTGGCTACGGGGGCGTGCGCATCGAGGCGTAACGGTCTGGACCGGGGACCGGTGAGTCTGGACATCCACACTCTAGATTCTGAGCTTCAGGCCGCCCTTGCGCTTGAGGTGCCCCGGCCTGCGAGCCGAGGGAAGTGAATTGCGGCACGCGGCAACAGACTTTATTAGGGGGCGGCATCGGGCCAGCATTGTATTCACCCGGTGTGAGGAGTGCAGCGTCTCTGCCCCTCTGCCGCGCCTACATTCGAGAGGAGGATGTGGGGGATCAATAAATCGTCTGGTGCGCCGCCGCCGCTTTGGCCCTAGTCATAGGGCATTGGGACTGCACCAGCATTCGGCCGCCGCGCGGCCTTGCAGAGAAAACTTTCTCACTCACATTATGAAGAGGGAACTTGGAGGGAGGGTTCCTTGCAACATCGTTGATGCGTCTTGGCTTTGCGCTGGTCCCTTCTCTCCCTTCTCTGCCCTTCGTCCTTTTTATCCTCATCTTCCCCCGTCCTCCCCCCCTCTCCTTTCTCCCACGTGCCTCCTCCTCTTAATCCGCCTCTTCATCTGCCTCCCTTCCTCTGCTTTCTCCTCCTCTTCCTGCTTGCTCCTCTTCCTCCTGCTCCTCCTCGTCCTCGTTTTCGTCCTTCTCCTCCTCATTCCGTGGTGCTGCTGCTCCTCTTTTCTCCTCTGCCCTCCGCCCATCTCCCCCCCGCCCCCCCCCCCAGCGGGCTGTGATCTCTCTTCGCCCGCGGCGGGTTGCTTCGGGCGGCCCTCCCACAAAGGGCGTCATCCACAGAGACCTCAAGCTCGAGCGCGCCCCCGCTTCCCCGCCGCCCTTTCCCGCGGCCGCGGCAGTTCCTTAGGCAGGAGGGTAAGGATCAGGGGGGAAGATAGAGGAAGGGGGACGATGACGATATTGTTGCTGCTGCTGCTGCTGCTGCTGCTGATGATGATGATGATGATGATGATGATGATGATGATGATGATGATGATGATGATGATGATGATGATGATGATGATGATGATGATGATGATGATGATGATGATGATGATGATGATGATGATGATGATGATGATGATGATGATGATGATGGTGATGATGGTGATGACGACGATTCTGTTGATGCTGATAATGATGGCGACGATGAGGATGCTGATGATGATGGCGTAGTTGTTGATGATGATGCTGATGCTAATGATGCCGATGACGATGATGATGCTGATGATGATTATTATGTTGATTCTGATGATGATGGTGATGCTTACCAGGATGATGATGCTGGTGCTGCTGATGATGTTGAGGGGGAGGGGGAGGAGGAGGAGGGGGAGGGGCAGGAGGAAGAGGGGGAGGAGGAGGAGGAGGAGGAGGAGGAGGAGGAGGAGGAGGAGGAGGAGGAGGAGCAGGAGGAGGAGGAGGAGGAAGAGGAGCGGCAGGAGGAGGAAGAAGAGGAGGAGGAGGAGGAGGAAGAGGAGCGGCAGGAGGAGGAAGAGGAGGAGGAGGAGGAGGAGGAGGAGGAGGAGGAGGAGGAGGAGGAGGGAGTTGGAAGAGGAGGAGGAGGAGGAGGAGGAGGAGGAGGAGGAGGAAATGCTGCTGCTGCTGCAGCTGCTGTTGCTACTGTTCCGAGCTCCGCTCCAGAGACAGGCAATACCGTGTCTTGTGGCTCGGGGCCTGCGAGGACGCTTTGCCACCGTGGGACTTCGACTCTGGCGTTTCTCCTTGTCCCTCTCTCCTCCCTTCTGCTCCCCTTCGTCATGATCATTATCCTTGCCCTTCTCCTCCACACCTTCCCCTCATCCCCTCGTACTCTTTGTCCTCCTCCTTCCCAGGCATCCGCCCAGGAATGAGGGCAGAGTCTCAGCAGGCGGAGGGGGCACAGGGGGCCGATGCAGGAGTTTTGGGATTCGAGCGCCAAATCGTGAGTTGGAACGTGGGCAGGTTGTATGGCGAGTTCATTCTTCAGGGGTTCCGGGTGCTCGCGTACCGCTACGGCACGAGCATAATCATCTGGCCTCAGGAGGTGTAAAGATGGCCCTCGGACCCATGCATACGTCCCGGGCTGGATCGTACACCACTGGCTAGGGAACTACGTGGCGGTGGGGAGCCCACAAAAGATTGGGGCCAATCGGGGCTCGGAGCCTATGCATGACAGCACGCACGCGGCAGCGCTGGGAATATCCCGCGCCTGCGTCTGTAGCTGCAACTTGCGAGATCAACGCACACCGACAGAAGATTTCAAGGATGTGCTGGAGGAGGTAGATGGGATGTAGAACGCTCATCCTCGACTGCGACTTCAACGTGGAGTTGCCTCAGGACATGCCAGGGGCTGAGCGGGAGCAGGGCTGGAGGATTATGCACAGGGCAGCCGAGAAAATCTCGCAGGAGATGCTCTTGGCTCATCTCGACAAGTGGGGAGTGAAACAGGTGACAACATGTGGTAGACCACGGCATGGCGACGGCGGCCCTACGAGCACCCAGGGATTGGCGCCCAGTCCATGATCGACGGCATCACGGTACCTCGTGGTTTGGGCTGCAGTGGGGAGGTGTGGGATGCGAGGCCATTGATGGTAGCAGATCGCCGGCGAGACCATTACCCAACGTGGCTGAACATGGCGCCCGCCCACATAACAATGGCAGCCGCCACCAGGAAACGCACCCTGACCGGTTGGCAGCCAAATATTGCGGCGGATGAGCAGGAGTTCGGACTAAGAACCGCCCGCGATCTTGCAGCCATCGTTGGCGAGGGCGGCGCGGGAAGCAGTAAGGCCTTCGGCGACCACTTGGAAGCGGCGAATGCCTCCGTGGTGGCAGCGGCTGCACCCAGAGTATCCGGGATGTCTACATGAAGGGTGCTGAATTGTTGAAATTGAAGGCTGCTGTCCGGGAGGCTGGGGAACCCAACGGAGAGGCGCGCTACGAGGAGCCAACTCAGGAGGAGGAGGAGGAGGAGGAGGCGCCACGATGAGTGCAAGAAGATGCTAGTCACCTACCCGTCTTGGCGGCGAGCGAAGTGCCAAGTGGCATACGCGGGACCCCTTGCATTGCGAGATGCTCATGGACGAAAGCAGCTTGATCGATCTTATTGGCCGGCAGTGTTCGAGGCTAGTTGTAATTAATAAGTACCACACTCCCGCAGAGACTTGAAGGCAGGCAGCATAAGCGTCCACAGAAACTCGACGAGGAGCCATGCTGGGAGGAGGCCAGAGGGGACCACCGCACACCGCAAGAGTACAGCATTCACCACGCACTACAGGCTAGATCGAGATTGGCCAAAGGAAGAGCAGCCTGCCAGGACGATATTGTGAACGAGCTGTTGCTTGGGCTCAACAGGGACGCGGTGTACGCTTTGTATTCTCTTTCCCGTGCCGGGCTGGCAGGGGGGGAGGGCGACGTAGAATCGTGGACATAGTTGGTACTGCTCTTCCGGGAGAAGCGGGCACACAGCACCGACCTCACAGACTACAGGGGGATCGGTCTGATGGCTGCGACGCTGAAGTGGTGCACGGTACACGACCAGTTTGATATTGTTTTAAGAAGAGTTGGTGCCCCCACGCGTGAGGTCTCGTGACTGATGTGCATGGGGTTTGAGACGGGCATGAGGTCCGCTCACCCGATCACGCCGCTGCAGCTGCTACTCCGCAAGAGCTGGGAGCGGCCCGATCGCGTTTCACTTGCTGTTCTGGTTGCGGACGTGCTCCAGGCGTTAGACTTTCTCCAGCCGGGAGCGGCGATGGCCGAGATGAGAAGGTAGGGGCGCCGAATAGGCGAGCGCTCTTCCGCGAAGGCGTGAGTTGCATGATTGTGCCAGGCATTGGAACGACCACGGTACAACCCCGATCTTGTACAATCGCAGCGAGAAGCTGGGGAGCACCGACGCCACGCGGAAGTTTCATGCCACGATCTCCAGATGCATGTTGTTGGCGATCCGCGCTTACGAGGCGAACGACCTTGGCATTGTGATGGGGGGCGTGCGCTTCAAGCAAGCACCCTGGTGCGACAACGTGTGCCTCCTGTCGCGGGATTGGGAGACGCTCCGCAAGTTGACCAGCATCTTGAGCACACAACTTCAAACGATTGTGCTCGTGGAAACCCTCGAACTTGGAATCCATGACGTCGAGCCCCGCTTTAGCCTTCTTCGAGATTTCGGGGGCGCAGCCTGACGTCGCGCAGGCCATTCTCGAGGTGCCGTGAGTCTCCGCCAGCGCGCAGCTCGGCAGCGTGCTCACGCAGACGGGCGAGAGCACGCCGGGCGTGGACCCTCGCATTGCCGCTGCAGGGCGCGCGCGGTGGGGGAGACAAGGCCCTCCGGAAGACGACTCAGGCGATCGCAAACATGCATTAAGGGGGCGTGGATTAGCGACGGGTCCCTTTTCCATGGAAAATCGCGGGTTTCCTCACCCTGCGCGAGGCGGCACCGGCCGCATTTTGGGGAGGGCACCTCCTCCGATCCATGGATCAGGCGACCGCGCTCCAAATCCATGGATCGCTAATCCATGTTTGCGCGCCCCCGAACGACGCTGAGATTTTTTTGGCATGGATGCGAAGGCTGGGCCATGACGACGGTGCTGGCTCAAAACATCCACGAAGCAGAAGGCTCTGTGCTCCGCCGCGCGGCGACGATACGTGGGCGACGCACGGAAAGGGACTCGAACGGTTCTGCGGCCATCAGCGACGAGGGCCGAACCGATGTCAGTCAGAGAAGGAGGAGGCAGGCTCGTACTCGAGGGGCTCCTGGAAGTCAAGCACAAGGTGGTGGCGCTCGCCGTCATTGGGCGGACGTCCTTAGACGACGCCATAGCTGGGAGTGGGCTGCGCGATTTTTTGATTGTATGCGACCATGACGCTCCCCGAGGAGGACTGGCAGCGGACGCGGGACAGGACGAAGAAGAGGAGAAGGCAGCGGGCGAGACGCAGTACCTTTGCCTGTGCACGGGAGGAGGAGACCCCATGGCAGCATCGGCGAGGAAGGGCGCGCCGAGCGCAGCGGGAAGACATGTTACCTCTCTGCTGCAGGACCTGGATGGCGCGAGGAGGCTGCCCAACCAGTCTGGGCAGAACGGCGGGGGGAGTTCGCGAAGGCAGGCTGTGAAGGTTGGGGACTTTCCTTACAGCGCTAGCGTGAAGAACGGGACCGGTGGCAGTCGAGACTTGCTCAGCGACCGCGTCCTCGGCAACTTTCCCCGCGCGCCCAGCCTGCCTTCAAGACGCCGCCAGCGACCGCCCCTAACGGCGCCCCTGCGGCCGTGGCGCCCCCACCGAGGCGGATGCGGGTGCACATCGAGGGAAACCAAAACCACGGTCGAGTGGCTCAACGGGCATTGGTACATGAAGAACGACTGTCTCCCGCACAGGCCCGAACGCGCCGTAGTCTGCACATGGCTTGGGGGACAGGCAAAGTGAGCGTCGCAGAAGACCAGGCAGACTGGGCTCTGCACGTCTAACGGGCGCACAACAAGGACTGCGACGCCACCGCAACAGCCGCATTAACGCGACTGTGCGAGATTGTTGCCGTCAGCCTCGCCCCGAGGGAGCTCTTGAGAGGGCATGTGGAGGCAAACGTCGTGGCCAGTTTCGACGACGGGCAGCGGGAAGGCAGAGCTGGGGCAGCGTGGGTTCTGTTGGTGAAGCTCGGCACGAATCTGCATCCTTGAATGGTCTAGTTACGGCTTCGGCGTGGGCAGCGCCACGGGCTCTAGGGTGGAGCTCGCCGACTGTAGTTAGCTTTGCGCTCACATTGAGCACATGACGGAATAGCTGGCCGCCTGTGGAATGCTGGAATTGGGAGCTGATGAGGCCCAGATGGCTCCGTGCCGTATGCGGCCGCGGCAATCCGTGGCTGATGCGCTCAGCGCGTGCGCTCCGTAGTGTCGCGCAGTCTCACCTTGGGCTGCCAGGTTCTGGCATTTAGCCCCGAACAGATCGAAAAGGTCCACCTCCCCCGGTTCTCCTGTTGGGCCTTCGCCGTCTGCTGTTGGGTCCTCGGAGGGGCCCGCTGGCAGGCCTGCTGGTGCCTCGGCCGGGGCTGAGGCTCGAACCTCCGCCAGCTTCCACCAGTACGGGGTGCGCGTCCCCGTCCCGGACCTGGCCCGAGTTGCCCGCCTGCACGGGTTTACTTGGGCTCATTTGGTGGTTGAACGGGCCAAGGAGTGCAGGCGGGCCAAGCGGGACAGTCCCAGTGTGGAGGAGAGTTGGCCCCTGGAGGGTGGCTAGCTTGTGCTTCGCCGCCGCGGAGGCAAGGGGCTTGACCCCTCAGCATCCATTCCATTCCACTCCATTCCCTCCTCCTTCCCCTCCTTTCCCTTCCCTTCCTCCCCTGGTCCTCCTCCCCTCTCCTTTCCTCCTTCCACTCCTCCCCTGGTCTGCCTCCGTCAACGCTGCCGCCGCCGCCGTTGTCGTCGTCGTCGCCGTCGTCGTCGTAGCCCACGCGGCACAAACAGATGCTTCACTGGCGTGGCACGCACCATACTGTAACCCCACAGCGAACAGCGCATGCCTGCCCTCCAGGCCTGGCGCGGCGCGGTTCTGGCAGCGTGGCTCTCTCTCGTGCCCCAGCCCGCCGCGCGGAGGATGGCCCAGGAGTGGGCCATCGTCAGCTACAACGTGCAGAGCCTCGTCGCCGTGGGGAGGCGAGAGTACGTGAGCGACGTGCTGCGGGCCAAAGACATTGTTGGCCTGCAGGGTACGCAATTACGTGCCGGTCGAGAGGAGGTAACAAAGCGCCGAAGCAGCCACTTTTGGCAGGTGCAGCGGGGGTACGGGGGCGGGGCGCTCACCAACAGCAGCACGGGGGTGGAGATCTGGCTGAGTAAGCGGAGATTCGGAGCCAATGACATCCAGCGGAGCTTCCAGCCGCCGGGCATCATCCAGGGGCGAGCCGGCGCCGTGGCAGTGCACCGTGAAGGGCATCGTTTCTTGCTCTTCAGCATATATTTTCCAGTGCGGCCACGCACAGCGGCGCATGTGCAGCGCCACATCAAGACGGTGCAGCGCCTCAAGAGCTGGATCGACAGCGTCGTGGAGCTCACAGGGCCCAGGTACACCGTCATCGTCTTCGCCGACGCCAGCGATGGCTTCGGGGTGCAGAAGGGCACGAATCAGGAGATGGACGAACCAGAGCAGCTCGCGGTGGCTGGCACCGCGAATCCGAGAATGGAGCAGGAGGCCGCCACGGCGCTGAGAGAGCTGTGCGTGAAGTGGAGCTGGGCGGTCCCATTGTCCCGAGCGCCCACGCCGCCAACCTTCGTTGGCAACAGCGGGTCCAGCCACATAGATCACATAATCTTGCCGCAGCGGCTCGAGCAGTGGGTGGTCGCGAAGAATGTACTCGAGCGCAAAGGGCGGGAGCTACAGCTCATCGACACACAGCGGCCCCTCGACCACAGACCCGTGCAGATCAAGCTCGACAATGCGCCACCGCCACCGAGAAGGAGTGCAGCAGAGGTATCGCGGCACCCAGAGGCTGTAGCAGCGTGTCTGCTGCGAGGACACCGTCGTGAGGAGGTCCTCGCAGGAGTGGAGCAGCAACTTTGCCGACGCGACCAGGACTTGCACGCCGCAGCGCGGATGCCCGCCACCGACCGGCTCAACGAGGTCCTCATGGAGTGCATCCAGGAAGGCGCGCTGCCCCTGCTGAAGGACTCCCCGTGGTCAGCACAATACCCACAATTACGCGATAGGCTCGGGGCACTACTCCGGCAGAGGAGGCACCTCAAACAGCAGTTGGCAGAGCGGGGCGATCAACGCATTCAGCACGACACAGACCAGCTCTGGACAGAGTGCCAGGACCTGGAGATCGAGTTAAGGCGCATCTCACGATACTTGAAAAAGGCGAAGAAGCAGTACGTGAACGACCTCAACCAACAACGCCTGGACGAGCTCTACGCAGCGCGGCGCCATGGCAACGCCTACCTAACATGGAAGATCTCGCGGCTCATCGCCGGCACCGGGAGAGGACCGAGGCAACGCACATACGCACTATCAACGAGGGCGAAGGCAGGCGCCGCCGAGTGGGCGAACCGCATGCTGCTTCCTGGCCCTGAGGGCGGAGCAGATGGACAGATCATCGACTTCAGCGAGCGGGTGGCCAACAGACAACCACAACTGGAGCAGTACCACCAGACCGCACTAACGTTGGCGAAGCAGGACATCGAGGGGTTGTACAAGAGTGTCTGGAGCCTCCGCAGCTGGCGCGCGTGGCCGGCATGGTCGGTCCCAGGCGACATCATCCGGATCCTCATGAGCCCGAAGTGGGTCCACAGACGTCGAAGACAGCCAGGACTCGGACACCAGGAAGAGAGGCTGGACTGCCCGAAGTGGAAGCACTGGCTGATCGTGCTCATGCTCAGGTGTCGCCTCACACGCAGCACGCCACTGCCATGGCATAGAGCGCGTGCAATACAGCTGCTAAAGGGAGGGGCGAACGCGGCCCCAGGCTGCAAGGGGGAGAGAGCCACCATGGTGATGTGCGGCCTCGGGCGCAGCTATTTCCGCCAAATCCTCAAGCGAGGCCCTGACATTGAGGAACCGCTGTGGGCCCATGGGGGGCTCCCAGGCCGACGTCGAGAGGGCGCCATGCTCACGCAACTCGTTGGCACCCACAGGCTCCGCAAGTTAGGCCGTTCGTTTACAACCAGGCTGCACGACACAACGAATGCGTTCTACAGCGTGCAGTGGAATAGCCTCTTGCCAGCAGCCTCCGAGATGACCAGGGCCTTCGACCGGCAACCTGTTCGGGAGCGTCTCACTAACGCTGTCATGAGGTTCGAAGATCGTGGCTGTCCGGAGTCGGCAAAGGACGTCTGGGCCAAGACGGGGTGCTTGCCTGGGGATCACTGCGCCACGAAGTTCTTCGTGCACACTTTCTCCACCAGCATGGCCGAGAGCTTCCAGGAGCTCGACAGCACCTTGGACTTTGGCCGGGATATGTACACCACGTGCCGCATTTCCGATGACGAAGTCGACATCGCCAGCGCGGGTTTCGTCGACGACATCGCGAGGAAGGTCTTGTATCGAGACACCGCGCACGCCATCCACCAGCTTGCGGTTGAGAACCGCGTCATCACCAATGGCACGCAGAGCTTCGGCGGCGCCCAGAACATCACGAAGCAGGTGAACGTCCACAGCAATGTAGGCGCGGGCTCGTGGGTGAGGTTGAGGCGGCTCTGGGCCAGCGAGGAGGTGGAGGGCAAGCAAGCGCTGCAGGGCATCTACCTGGGCGGCCTCCTGGACCACCAGGCCAGCTTCGCAACGGAGCGGCAGAGGAGGCTGGCAGCCATCGAAACAGCATGGGCATCGATGGGCAGATTCTGGACCAGCCGGGCGCCACGGAGATACCGCTTTGCCGTTTATCGCGCGCTGGTGCAAGGAGCGGCCCTCGCCGGGCTCACGGCGTACGCGGGCAAGGACGGCGCCATCTCGGAGAAGGATGCCGGCCCCATTGACGCGCTGCTCGGCAAGTACGCGCGGGTGCTGCTTATGGGGGAGGCGACGCAGCAATGGGAGGGCCCCGAGCAGGAGGTCCACTATCAAGCCATGAAGCGCGTTGACACGCTGAGAGAGGTGGGGATCGTGCCGACGAGCTTGGAGCTGCGTGTCAGGCGACTTCAGTGGTACCAGGCGATGGCGCGGAACCCGCACCACCATCGGCAGGCGATTGCGAGTCTGTTCGGCCAGACGCGGTGCGAGGAGGACCCCACCGTCAACGAGCAGGGCACAATCACATCAGATGCCAATCCATGGGCGAAGCAGTTTTGGGAAGACATTGCCGCGCTCGACTGCTTAGACGAGGGCCAGCAGCTCCGCGAGGTGATTGGCGACTCTGTGCTCGCAATTTTCGAGGAGGAGGGGAGGGAGATCTTCCTAGCTATTGACATGAAGCAGTTGCGTGCCACCCGCGCCACCGTGGCGATCCCCCCTCCAGAGCATCGAAGCCAAAAATCTGACAATGGCCCCGGGCTCGGGCCGGAGGAGGGGGCTGAATTGCCAGTGCGGTGCCCTGCTGTTCTCGACGATGGCAGCCCCTGCCCAGCGAGGTTCGCTACAGTAGGAGCCATGCTACGCCATCTGGGATGGGAGGGGCAAGGGGGCAATCATGGGTTGCGAGATCTCGCCAGACGTGTCACAAAATGGAATCAATGCGTTCTCTGCTCATCCACGTTCAGCTCCACAGCAGTGGCGGCCCAGCATCTCCAGAGGGCCCTAGCAACGCATTGTTGCCAGGCCGACCGTGCCCGGGTCCACTTCGAACCCTGGTTGCCATCGTCATACGTCTGCCCGCTGTGTTACCAGGATCAAGAGAACGAGCATTGGTACCGATATCATATACAGACACATCTTACCGCACTCCTCACAGATCACAATGTCACTTTCGAGCTTGCCGGGGAGCTGGAGGAAGCAGGCCCTCGCAGGCGCCAGCCACTCGGCGCCCAAGGCCCCGAGGACCGACGTCGCGGGGAAGGCGCCAGCAGCCGGGGGCAAGGCGTCCGCGGCCGGGGGCAAGGCGCCCGCGGCCGGGGGCAAGGCCCCCGCGGCCGGGGGCGGACCGGCAGCAGCGGCCTCCCAGGCGCCCGCGGCCGCGGCCAAGCCACCTGCAGCCGCGCCACCGCCGGCCAGACCAGTGCGCCAGCAGCGCATGGAGGTGGACGAGGAGGAGGCCGGCTCACTGGGGCAACGGCTGCTGGTGCAGCTCGAGTCGCGCGTGCGTACATTGGAGAGCATCGTTACCTTGTGTTTCCTCCTGAACAAGACCGCTCCGGTAGTAGTAGCCATGAAGACGGCCCTCGAGGAGTACAACAAGGAGGTCGAGGGCATGGACGACCCGAGCAGGCACCACAGCCCCCACCTGGACGTGGCCGCGGCCCTCCTGGAGTTCTTCGCGGAGGGCGAGGTGCCGGGCGGGCTCGACGCGGCCGGGCAGGCGCGATGCTACGCCCTCCGGAGGCTTCAGGCGATGATGCACATCGGCCCGGCACATCAGTTCGCCGAGTGGTGCAAGCTCGCGCTGTGCTTGCCCACGTTCACGCCGCCGGGCAAGGAGGAGAAAGTGCGCTTGATCATAGCGTTCGAGGGCAGCGTGGAGGTTTGCTACGAGCCGCAGGCGGAGATGGAGCACACGAGCAAGATCCTGGAGGCAACGCGGCACTACCTCAGCGCGGAGGGGGAGGCCCAGCAGCAGAGCATCAAGGAGCTGGTGAAGCTCACGCCGCTGAGCCCGCTCGAACTCGCGCCGGGGCTGTCCCCGCCGCCGGCGCGCCTGGTGCAGGTCAACAGTCTCCTCTCTACGGCGCTGGTGGCGCACGGAGCAGCCTTCCGCAGTGGGAGGGCGCCTGTGGGCAACCTCGCCTACAAGATTGGGAAGAAGCGAGGCCGCCGAGGAGGAGGAGGCCGTAAGTGAGGGAGGGAGCCCGCCGCTGGGGCCAGCTCCAGGGCGCGGTAGGAGCTCCTGCCATGCGCACAGGCCGCACTCGGACTTGTATAGGGGCTGAGTTCGGGGAGCGGGGCCTGTCCTGGCGGGGGGAAGCACAAAGCACGTAGCTGTGAGCGCCGGACGGTTTACATATACAGGCATAGAGCACGCATGCCACTACATATCGAAGCCATTCCTGGCAATTTGGCTGCACTTTTTCCACACACACGCGCTAATCGAGGACCGTCCGAAGGCGAGAGCCGTCGTCGTCGTCGCCATCGTCGTCGTCGTCGTCGTCGTCGTCGTCGTCGTCGTCGTCACCGCCGCCGCCGCCGTCGTCGTCGTCGTCGTCGTCGTCGTCGTCGTTGTCGTTGTCGTTGTCGTTGTCGTCGTCGTCGTCGTCGTCGTCGTCGTCGTCGTCGTCGTCGACGGCCTCGTCGTCCTTCCCCCCAATGCTCCCTCCCCTTGTCGTTGTCACTGTCGGCTTCGGAGTTCGATTCGAATGCAGCCGCCCCCCCCGCCCCCAGCAGCGGTCGCTGCCAGGGGGTTTGATCAAACTGGAGCTTGCACTTGGAACAATAAGAAAAGCACGAAGGGCGACTAGGGTCCCCAGCGGGGGCGGGGTGTCGAGGTCCCTCGGGTGGCCCTGGTTGGGGAGGGATGACGGCGAAGCTGTGCGGGCAGCCCTGTGACCAAAACTGCATCGAAGAACCGTCCCCCTCCATCTCCTCCTTCCCCCTCCTCCCCCGCTCCTCCCCTCCCCTTCCCCTCCCCCTCCCCTCCGTCTCCCCTCCCCTCTCTTCCCCTCCCCTCCTCTCCCCCCTCCCCTCCCCTCCTCTCCACCTCCCCTCCCTTCCCCTCCCCTCCCCCTCCTCCCCCGCTCCTCCCCTCCCCTTCCCTCCGCCTCCCCTCCCCTCCTACCCCTCCGTCTCCCTCTCCCCCCCCTCCTCCCCTACCCTCCCTTCCCCTCCCCTCCCCATCCCCCCTCCGCGCCCTTGCGCGCGCCGGTCGAGGAACGTGCTCGTGGCCTCCGAGAGGCGCGAGGGGCCGTGCGTGCTGTGCCCTCCCCCCCCATCTGCGGAGGCCGTCGTCGGCGCCGACGTCGGCGTCGGCGTCGGCGTCGGCATCGTCGTCGGCGTCGCCGCCGCGCGCCCCTCGCCAGACTTTCGGGGGGAAGGGGGGATGGGGGAGGGGGCGTAGGCGGATGAAGAGGGGAGGAGGAGGAGGAGGAGGAGGAGGAGGAGGAGGAGGAGGAGGAGGAGGGGGAATAAGAGCAATCTGATGATGACGATGCTGATGATGCCGATGATGCTGCTGCTGATGATGATCATCACGATGACGACGATTGAGATGATGATGCTGCTATCGATGATGATCGTGATGCAGTGGTGATGGTGGTGGTGATGATGATGCTGCTGATGATGATGGTGCACATGCTGATGCTGATGCTGCTGCTGCTGCTGCTGCTGATGATGATGATGATGATGATGATGATCATGATCATGACGTTGATGACGATGCTGTTGGTGATGATGATGGTGATGCTTATGCTGATGATGCTGATGATGATGGTGGTGATGATGGTGGTGGTGGTTTGGATGATGATTACATGATGCTGGTGGTGCTGTTGATGGTGATGACGATGATGATGACGATGGGGGGTGCTGCTGCTGATGATGAGCATTATGATGGCGATGGCGATGATGCTGATGCTGATGTTGAGGAGGATGATGATGCTGATGCTCATGCTGCTGATGATGATCATGCTGACGATGATGATGCTGCTGATGATGATGATGATGCAGATGATGATGCATATTATGATGATGCTGACGATGATCATGCGGATCATGATGGTGATGATGATGCTGATGATGGTAGTGGTGGTGGCGGTGGTGCGGTGATGACGGTGATGATGATGGCTAATGATTATTTTGCTGGTGATGATGTTGATGGTGATGGGCGGTGGTAATGTTGCTGATCCTGATGATGCTGAGGCTGAGGGGTGATGGATGATGGACGATGGGCGATTGGCAATGGACGATGGGTCGTCTGTTTTGGATGATTGGGCAAGGGTGATGGGTTCTGATGATGATGACTATGATGCTGATGCTGCTGATGCTTTTGCCGATGCTTCTGATGACGACTCTTATGACATATTCTGATGGTGATGGGACTGGCCATAGGGATGTTGATGTTATTGCCGATGCTGTTGATGATGGCAGTGGTGTTGATGCTGCTCATGCTGATTATGATGGAGAAGATGATGATGCTGATGAAGATGATGATGCCGATGATGAATATGACGATGCCGATGACGATCGTGGTGCAATGGTGATGATGATGATGATGATGATGATGATGGTGGTGGTGGTGGTGGTGGTGATGAGGATGGGGATGCTGAGGATGATGCTGCTGATGCTGATGATGATGTTGATGATGTTGTTGATGATCATGATGAGGATGCTGCTGATGAGGAGGATGATGCTGCTGATGCTGATGATGTTGATGATGACGATGCTGCTGCTTGTGCTGCTGATGTTGCTGATCTTGCCATTCTAAGGGATGGTGGTGCGGATGGCGATGCTGAGGAGGAGGATGAGGAGTAGCAGACGAAGTAGTGGGAGAGGGTGGAGGCCTGATGTGGAGCAGGGAGAACAACGTGACGGTGGCCAGGGTGAGGACCAGAGGAAACCCATGGTGCATCAAAGATGCGGCAAATTCTCTTACGTAAGTCCCCTTCTCATAACGCCCTGCAAGCATTGCTTCTCGTTGCTAGGAGTTTCCCCTTCAGAGACGAGTGTCTCAAGGACTTGCCATTCAATCGAGAGTCCCGCTTCGAAGAATCATTGCCAGGTGTCCATCCAGCTATGGTTGTGACATGCGACGAGGTATCCGTACGTGGTTCAGGGGAGTGCCCAGTGAGAGCCCCATTTGAAAAGGGGTTGTCTTTTATCCGTGTAGCTGCTGCGTAGTAGTATGCTTCGGCTGTCGTGAGAGAAATGCCGCTCGAGACCAACACTTTGAACAAGAGCGGCCTCCATCCTCGCTGCTTTTGCGCAAGGATGCGTCCCTGGTCACATACTTCAAAGTCTCAAGCGGGAGCTCCATTTCGAAACTTCTCCGCCATTAAGCATTGCAGCATTCGCACGCCTATACAGCGAATGTGCGTAGCTCCAAGGCGAGGTCTACATTTGCCCACAATGTTGCGTGCTTTCGGCGACTGCGCGGCAAGGCGAGAGCCACATTTTGAAAACAACCCGCCTTCTGTCCGTGTAGTCGTTGGTTGTCAAACTTCCAGGTCATGGGCGGTGGGACCGTCTCGGCCGAAACGCCTGGCCTGCTCTGCAGACGTGTCTGGTGGTGCGACGAGGGGCAGCTAGGAGTCAGGACGACGGCTTTTGGGGCAGGAGGGGGGCCTCACATCACGGCGTCGTGAAACATCCACGTTGGTCCTTTTCTGCACCACATTCGACACACTGAGCCCTCACGGATCGATCTGGCCCCAGATTGCGGTCACGATGATCAGGTCGGTAGCTCTGGTCGTGATTATGCTTCGGCTTTTGAGGGAAGGGAATGGGGGAGGGAGGAAGGAAACCTGGAGGATGGAGGGTCGCGTCAAATCTAATAGTCCAGGGCCCAGGATGCCGCAGAGTGCTTGTTGCGACGGGGGAGAGAGGAACACACATACGAGGAGGAGGAGGAGGAGGAGGAGGAGGAGGAGGAGGATAATAAGGAAGAGGAAGAGGAGAAGACGGAGGACAAGGAGTATGATCGGAAGGGAAATAATGAGGGAGAGGCGGAGGATGATTTGGAGGACGTAGACTACAGTAAACCCAAGACGCACCAGCGGTGTTGCAATAAACCCTATCTCCAAGTTGCTTCTTCATATGTCCCTATGAGAACTTACCATGATTACTGGAAGTGCCCCGCTGGAAGACAACATTTGGATAATCCTCGCTCGGCCTTCAACGCCGCGAATTAGCGTGACTGCTGCGCCCTGACAGTCCTAAATCGTTTCAGATCACCGTTCCTGGGATGGCAACCGTGCGAATTCTCGAGCTGCCTCGCACTTTTAAGACGAGTGTGCGCGGCGGTCAGGCGAGAGTCACATGTTGAAAAGCAACCGGCCTCAATCCGTGAAGATGTTCCAGTTGTTTACAACGACTGCGCGCGGTGCCCAAGCGAGAGCCGAGAGCAAGATGTAGAAAGGCAGCCGCTCTCAATCCGCGAAGCTGCTGCACAATTCCACAACGATTGTGCGCGGCACCAACGGCGAGAACCGCATGTTGAAAACAAACCTCCCTCAATCCATGAAGCTGTCGCCAACCTTTTAAGACGAATGTGCGCGGAACAAAGGCGAGAGCCACATTCTTAAAAGCAATCGCCCTCAATCCGCGAAGTTGCAATTTTGTGCAACGAACGTACAGAGTGCTCATTTCTAATTCGTGTGCTGCACGTGGCCTCCGCCGCCCCGTCGGCGCGCTTCATTTCTAATTCGTGGCCGGAATTGCAAATGACCGGAATTAGACATGAACGCGCTTGTTAGGCCCCGGAGGCCCCAGGGCAAATGCATTCGAGCGCGCGCCCGAGTCTGGATCTGGGGCGCGCCACCCTCGATCGGGCACGCGTAGACGTGACGCGCAAATCCTGCGTGTCGCGTACACGTGACACGCAAAATCTGCGTGTCACACGGAACGCGCCTGGGCGGGACACGCAGAATAAGGGGGGCGGACACGCAAAATCTGCGTGTCGCACGCCGGGGGTCCGAGGGCCGGCTGGGGACACGCAGAATCTGCGTGTCACGCGGGCCCCATCAGGAGGGCGGACACGCAGAATCTGCGTGTCGCACGCCGGGGGTCCGGGGGCCGGGGTGGGGACACGCAGAATCTGCGTCACGCGGGCCCAAAATCTGCGTGTCGCACGCTGGGGGTCCGGGGGCCGGGGTGGGGACACGCAGAATCTGCGTGTCACGCGGGCCCCGCCAGGGGGGCGGACACGCAGAATCTGCGTGTCGCACGCCAAGCGTCCTGGGGGCCGAGGTGGGGACACGCAGAATCTGCGTGTCACGCGGGCCCAAAATCTGCGTGTCGCACGCCGGGGGTCCAGGGGCCGGGGTGGGGACACACAGAATCTGCGTGTCACGCGGGCCCCGCCAGGGGGGCGGACACGCAGAATCTGCGTGTCGCACGCCAAGGGTCCTGGGGGCCGGGGTGGGGACACGCAGAATCTGCGTGTCACGCGGGCCCAAAATCTGCGTGTCGCACGCCGTGGGTCCGGGGGCCGGGGTGGGGACACGCAGAATCTGCGTGTCACGCGGGCCCCGCCAGGGGGGCGGACACGCAGAATCTGTGTGTCGCACGCCAAGGGTCCTGGGGGCCAGGGTGGGGACATGCAGAATCTGCGTGTCACGCGGGCCCAAAATCTGCGTGATGCACGCCGGGGGCCCGGGGGCCGGGGTGGGGACACGCAGAATCTGCGTGTCACGCGGGCCCCACCAGGGGGGCGGACACGCGTGTCGCACGCCAAGGGTCCTGGGGGCCGGGGTGGGGACACGCAGAATCTGCGTGTCACGCGGGTCTCAAATCTGCGTGTCGCACGCCGTGGGTCCGGGGGCCGGGGTGGGGGCACGCAGAATCTGCGTGTCACGCGCGGGTCCCGCCAGGGGGGCGGACACGCAGAATCTGCGTGTCGCACGCCGGCCGGGGGTCCTGGGGGCCGGGGTGGGGGCACGCAGAATCTGCGTGTCACGCGGGCCCAAACAAAATCTGCGCGTCGCACGCCGGGAGCCTGGGGGCCGGGGTCAGAATCTGCGTGTCGCACGCGGGGGGTCCTGGGGGCCGGGGTGGGGACACGCAGAATCTGCGTGTCACGCGGGCCCCGCCAGGGGGGCGGACACGCAGAATCTGCGTTCACGGGTATCTGGGGACGCGCAGAATCTGCGTGTCACGCGGGCCCAAAGTTTGCGTGACGCACGCCGGGGGTCCGGGGGCCGGGCTGGGGACACGCAGAATCTGCGTGTCACGCGGGCCCCGCC